AAGTGAACAGGTAACAGGGCACGGTGGGGACTGTGGCAAGCAGAGAGGTCTTCCCTGTCGAGCGCCACACCAAACCCTGCGTCGTGCATAGACCCATCACTTCCTGTAATTCTTTGTCCACCCCCTTGGTGATCCGTGTCTCACCTCCGCTGCCTCCCCGGCACCTGGCACCGTGATCACACAGAGCTGCCACCCATCCATACTCGCTGCCTGGGCACAGTGAGCCCACGGGGGACTAGGCTGGCCACATTTTCCTATTCTAAAAGAATTCAAACTTGTTTTTTTTTTATCTGAAATCTCTTAATTTTTGCATGTTTGGTGGTTAATGTAAAAACAAAAGCCCTTCGCTGGCCAGAAGCGGGCCTTGCTGGTGTGTGGCCTCCGCACGGCTCTCTGCATACCAATCGCAGCCACCAGTTTCTCTGGGAAACGAAAGGGCACACAAGTAAATGAAGACGCACATCTGTTTTACAAACCCCAGTCTCTCGCTATGAATGTCTTTGCTGTTGTTTCATTATTGTTTCAGTTTCACACAGTAAATTAAGAAACTCAGCCACCCCGCCCCGAGATGAAGCCACCCTGTTGTTTGTGAGTGGAAAAAGGCATCAGAGGGGGCCGGCGCTGTGGCGTAACGGGCTAATCCTCTACCTGCCGTGCCAGCATTCCATATGGGTGCCGGTTCGAGTCCGGGCTGCTCCACTTCCAATCCAGTGCTCTGCTGTGGCCTGGGAAAGCAGTAGAAGATGCCCAAGTCCTTGGGCGCCTGCACCCATGTGGGAGACCTGGAAGAAGCTCCTGGCTTCGGATCGGCCCAGCTTTAGCCATTGCAGCCATTTGGGGAGTGAACCAGTGGACGGAGGACTTGCTCTCTCTGTCTGTGACTCTGCCTCTCAAATAAGTAAGTAAATCTTTTTAAAAAGTGTTGATGCGGAATTAGAGCATCCAGTGGTACCTTCACTTGTCAGCAGCACCCCTGGCTCTGGGACACCTGTCACCCCTGGCTCTGGGACACCTGTCAGCAGCTGCAAGCCTGCAACGTGTTATCAGCACATCACTCAGTGTGCACACACGCCGAGCACTGAGTGAACGAACACTCGGCCGGGTGTCTCTCGTTCCGTTCAGTGTCATGTTGAACATATGCATTTTAGGGGCAATCTCCCACTGTAGACTTGTTGGTTCTTTCTGATTTTTTAAAATATTTATTTATTTATTTAAAAGGCAGAGTTTCAGAGAGGCAGAGGCAGAAGGAGAGAGAAAAAAGTCTTCCATCCACTGTTTCACTGTGCCGATCTGAAGCCAGGAGCCAAGAGCTTCTTCCAGGTCTCCCACATGGATGCAGGGGTTCAAGCACTTGGGCCATCCTCTACTGCTTTCCCAGGCCATAGCAGAGAGCTGGATCAGGAGAGGAGCAGCCGGGACTCGAACCTGTGTCCATGTGGGATGCCGGCGCCACAGGCCAGGGCTTTAACCTGCTGCACCACAGCGCCAGCCCCTTCTTTCTGATTTAACAGAGCATAGCCAAGTTGTGACCAAGATTGATGTTCTCATTTATTTCCCCAGAGAAGAGCTTTACAATAAAGTTTAAGTATTGCAATTTATGTCTCTAGCATTTCTAGGAAACTCTGTTACATGGAAAACGTCTCCACATCCAAGGACTTTTTTTTTTTTTTTTTGCTTTGAAGTTCTCTTAGTTGCTTTCCTCTGATGCAGCCATTCCACTTTGTTTAAGAAAAGACAAAAACAACCACTAGGATTTGTGGGCATTTTTCCCTTACGATAAAATCCATGTAGCATGACATCTACCAGCTCCACGCTGAAGCGTGCAGCTCCCCAGCGTTGAGCACACTTAACGTTACTGCACAACCGTCGCCAGCATCCAACCCCGCTCTCTCCTGTGCAGGTCTGAAGCTCGAACCCAGGAAACAGGCCCTCCCCGTCCCGATCCTCCCATCCTCACATCCTCCCAGCCCTCACAGCCACCACTGCACTCCCGTCTCTAGGAGCCTGACTGCTCTCCATCCCACACATGCACGGAGTCTCGTAATGGCTGTAGGTTGTGTCGGACCTGTTTCCCATCACCTGCTGTCCTCGGTCTCCGCCACGCTGCAGCGTGTGCCAGAATCCGTCCCCCTGCAGGCTCGGGCAGGTGCCTCCTCATGCACACACCCATGGCTCACCCCTCTCGGGCTGCTTGTGCCCCTGATCGCTCCCCGTCCTCCACAATACCGTGCTCGCCTTGTTTGCTTTTTCTTTCTGGTGTTCGCCGTCCTAAGGGTGTGAGGTGGTAGCATCCTGGTTTCGATTTGCATTCCCCCGACAGCGAGGGCGGTGGAGCGCCTGTCTCCTCTGGAGAAACGTCTGTTCCTTTGCCTACTTTTGTGCTGAGTTGTTTTTGTGGTTCCTGTCGCTGGACTGTAGGAGTTCTGGGTGCCGACCTGTATTCACATATATGATTTGCAAATATTTTCTCCCGTCCTGTGGGTCGCCCTTTCACTCGGCTGCTTGTGTCCTTTGATGTCTAGGAGCTGTACATTCAGATACACCGTTGGCATCTTTGAGCTTTGCATCTCTGGCCTCCCTGGCTCTCAGGGGCGTGCACTGAGGGAGAAGGCTGCCTCACGGCCCCAACAACAGCGGCTGGAAAGCCACCAAGTCCTGTTGCTAACAAAGCTGTACGCCGTGTCCAGAAGTCACCCACAGCCCAGCCTGCCTCCCCACAGCCACATCCGGCTGCAGGGTTGCCTTGGCATCAACAGGGTCCCAGCTCTGGAGCAGCCCCGGCGGGTGCTGGTTTGCTGGGACTCTCACAGCAGTGCCTACGGGCCGGAAGCTCGCAGGTGCACCCAGCGGCCGCTCCTGGCAGTCACAGAGAAGGAGCAGCCAGCAGGAGGCGGTGGGGGGGGGGGCTCAGCACGCAGCCAACGCCAGAACCTTCAAGGTCGAAATACTGAGAGGACCATAGCACCCCGCCCCCGAAATACTTCAAAAACAACAGTCAGTCGAAAAACGAGTCGGGACACTTCTGATTTTTCTTAAGATAATGACTTCAGTGCTTTTTTTGAAATGTCAAAATCCATTCTTCTACGTTTCTTTTAATTGATTTTATATTTTCTGGTGCCCTAACCCCTCCTCCTGGATCCGCCTATCAGGAAGTAATAATCACAAGAACTAATATTCATTGCCTGATTCTCGTACACACACTTTTTATTTGCACTACATGAAAGAACTCATTCACCGAATTGCGCCAGGCCCAGGTAGTAAGCACGGCCCCAGTCTCGTTTGACAGCCGGGGAAACCGAGTCGCAGAGCGGGAACTTGCCCAAGACCGAGGAGCTGGCGGTGGGTCTCAGAGGCAGGATCGAGTGCAGAGTCCCCTGGTCTGCAGAGCCCTCCTGGCCCGGCTCGTACCGGCTTGTCCAGCCCCTCCCTTGGCCGTTGGCTCTGGCAGCAGCCATGCTGTCAGCATCTGAAATTCGGGCCAAGCCATCTGAAGCAAAGCCTACGTGCTAAAAAGGCACTGAAGACCGTGCCGTGCTGAGCAGTGGACGTGATGTGACAAGCAGGTTGGCCCCCTGGGTGCCCCCAGCAACCGTGGGTAACGGTACAAGGACAGTGTCTCCCAGACGAGGGTCACTTCTGCACCATCACAACGTCACGTGCCATGGGTCCAGTTGCCCCAAGCTGAGGGCTGACTGTGCACACACGAATGCCCAGCACGGTCATGATCATTAAAGGCTGCTCCCCTCTGCATTCCAGCATCTCCTTTGCAGCCAGGCACGAGCTCAGCACAGCATGAGTGCTTACTGTGCACCTGCTACGAGCCAGCGAAGGCACGCATGTCCCTGTGCGTCATTTCCCTGGGGCCCCGAGACAACTCCACGAGGGACAGATGACCAGCGGTTCCGTCTGACGTGACGTGGGACACAGTGACTGAGCTACCCAGGGCCCAGAGCCGGTCCCTGGGGAGTGGAACCAGCTCTGAGCACAGCTGTGCCGGGCTCTCTCTGTTCGACGCCCCCCGTCACGCTCGCTGTACGTACTGTCAGTGACACCTACCTGAGGGGCTGTGCCCACTGGGATGTCCTCGTTCCCTCAAACACAAGTCCCTGCCTTGCACTGAGCCCCAGTTTGCAGCCCAGCTCCTTTGGAGACCCCCGGCCCCATTCTTCACTGCTGTGGCACTCCTTGGGCACAAAGCCTGCACCACGCCACGCATAAGACCCAGCGCTTGGGCACAGGCAACATAGTTCTCTAACACCTGCTGAGCCGGATTCAATGCCCAGGAACGGAAGCCAACAGGGACAAATGACAAGGCGACGAAGTCCCGGGCCCTGGGGGGCCCATTCCTGGATTTTCCAGCAGAGTTTCGCTTTTGGAAATCCTCTCCCCTCTCAGGGGACCATTTGTCAGAACGTGAGGCCAAGAAAGTAGCCGGGGATGGGAATTATAAGTGAGGTCCCCTGTCTACGGCAAAGAGGGGAGGATGGGACGGGGGTGGAGTCGGCCGCCCAGCGCCCCCGCACCGTGTCCCTGGGCAGCTCATGCTTCCCCAGGTTAGTTCTCCCCAGAGAGAACAGCCAGGAACTGCCCCTCTTCCTGCCCGCATCCCAGTGAAGCAACACGTGTGTGAGTGTGTCTCAGACGCTGACGAGCTTAAGGTTAGAACATTCCGGTTACCGCCAGTGGGGTTGCTTGAGTTCGGATGGCCTCCCTGGCCAGCATGTTTTGAAAGTAAACAAAGAAAAGAAAGTAAAGGAAGAACGTTTCCACCAGGACTGGTTAGGAAAAAGACACAGAGGCAGCGAGCACTGGAGGGCTTCCCAGCGTCTTCAAAGAGCCACCCCTAGATAGCTCTGTCTTCTAGGCTGTCCTGAACAGCTTGCCATGCGTGTGAGTGTGTGCGTGTGCATGGATTGCGTGTGCGTGCCTGTGTGTGCAGGGGTCAGGGCAGCCTCGCGCTGCGTGAGCCCCAAGCTGGGGGAGCGGCCAGGCCGCCTTACCTTGGCACCTGCTCCGCGCTGGCGGTCGAGGCCTCAGGGGACCGTCCGCTGGGGAGCTGAGCTCTCCGGCGCAGCAGTAGCTGGGGAACCTTGTCTTCTCCTTCTGTGTCCCATCTTCCAGACGTGTGTGGAAACCACAGCACCTGGGCAGCCTCAGGGGTTAATCAGCGCCTCCACTGGCCGAACGCAAGACCCGGGTCTCAGATCACAAACCTGAGCACAGCCCGCCCAGCCCGGCGTCAGCACCGGCGACCAAGGCGCTCAGGCTGGACAGGGCTGTCTCCCCTGAACTTCCTCTGTTCTCCGCACCGTTGGGGCTGCCAAGTCAGGTCTTCTGCGCCCAGGGATGTGGTTTCCTGCAGGCAGTGGGAAAGTGAGCCTGCAGCCCGGCAGGGGAAATCAACAAGGAAATTGACAAGGGTCACGGCCCCTCCAGCCATCACTCGGCTGGGGAGAGCGTCATGCAGCACTGACTGGTCTGCAGAGGCGGGGCCCACGGCCCCACGGGCCACAGAGTCCCACGTCCTTTTGTTTCTGTATTTGCAAAGAAGCGGGCAGCAAAGTCTTCATCAAACAGATCATGCTGCCCCCAGTACCTTGTCAAAACATTTTCAAAGATTTTCCGTAGATGGGGCCAGCTGTGCGGGGCGCCGGTTCGAGTCTCAGCTGCTCCACTTCTGATCCAGCTCCCTGCTAATGTGCCTGGGAAAGCAAAGGATGATGGCCCAAGTGCTTGGGCTCCTGCATCCACGTGGGAGACTCGGAGGAAGCTCCTGGCTCCCGGCATCAGTCTGGCCCAACCCTGGCTGATGCAGCCATTTGGGGGGTGAACCAGGAGATGGAAGATCTCTGCCTCTCTCTCCCTCTCTCTCTCTCTGTCTCTCTCTCTGTCTCTCTCTCTGTGTCTCTCCTTGTCTCTCTCTGTAACTTCTGCCTTAAGAAGAATATCTTCCATAGACAGTGTTACTCATAACCGAATGTTGACAGCAAACTGGCTAATGTTTGCAGACAAAGCAGACAACGAGGAAGTTTATAGCTGGTGCTGTTGATGCCTTTTGCTTCTAAACATACAGAATCGTGGTTCAGAGGATTTCTTGGCTCACCCTGTGCCCCCGCGTCTTTGCGGTCACTGATGGGGTCCGACTGTGCGCCCGGCCCTGTGCCAGTGACCCCATCTGCGTGACTTCACCAACAGTCTTGGAGGGACCACCTGCGTTGTGTATCTCAGGACTGGGGACCTTTATTTTCTGCCAACGGCCATTTGGGTGTTTGTAGCATCCTTTGTGGGCCATACAAACTCTCGGGTTAAAACGTAGCCGGCTGTAGATTTATTGGATTCTGACCTCCCCTGTGGTTGCCTTGGCAGGGCCAGGCTGAATGATTTCACGGCCTTGAATGGCCCACGGGCCGGATAGTCCCACCCTGGACTGCAGAGGGAGAAACTGAGAACTGGGAAGAGCTTGGCAAACATCGAACGTTGCATTTCTGAGTGTGTTGCTGACCCTGGCCGGCTCGAGCACTCCCCCATGATGGCCCAAGATTTCGCTTAACTGAGCGAGCGGCTCTGGGACAGAATTCTGCAGAGAAGCATGAGTCCTGGATGAGACGCCAGCCGGTGCTATGTCACACACAGCACCAGGCGGAGCTCCTGTAACCCAGGTACCTGCCGTGCCCTCAGCTGGCCGCCTGGGGAGCGTGACTCACACCCAGGGAAGGGCTCTGCGGTCCCCTGGGCCTGGGTGTGTGTCCCGCCGCCCGCCAGTTTGTCCTTTTCACTTTAGGAGTCTACTTGTTCCAGGCGTCTTTTTGGCCGGTGACCCGCGGAATGAACCAGATGAGGTTCCCAGCCTGGGGCCCCCGCTGGGAGAGAAGGGGTCAGAGCTTGTAGTGCTGAGCGAACAGCCCATTTTTTGGTTTTATCGCTCTCAGCTTCACTTCCAGGCCTTGGCCACGTATCCTCCTGTGCCGGGGCCGCCTCCCAGGGCAGCCGGCCACCGGGCCAGGAAAATGAGAGCCCATGGCGGTGCCCTCCAGGGTTTGCGACAGTGGGCAGCGGCTCTCCCTCCTCACCCCGGGGCTGGGCTCGGTGGCGCTTTGGAGTAGTTTGCTCTAAGGCCTCGTAGGCCTTGAAAGCTGAGGCCGGCAGCTTTTTTGTCCTTTACAGGGACTCAAGGTTTATTTACTGGGGTGATGGTGAGGGTGATGGTGATGTTGACGATTGGCTGAGCTCGGAGATTTTGCTCCAATCTCATTTGATTTCTCTTTCCCAGTGGTTTGTAGCTAAGTTTGTGGTCTTGGGCTCTCTGGGGAAGGGGGGGCCCGGAAGAGAGGCTCTCGGGGCCCTCGCCTGCCCCCTGCCCCACCTGCAGCAGCTGGGACTCTGTGTTCTGTAGGGGAGGTGCGGGGGTCTCGTTTCGCCTCCTCTCCAGTGAGCACCGGGCCAGTGCGCAACAATTCGGCTCCAAGAGTTGAATCTGCTGAGATCAACAAGACACCGATTCTGTGATTTTTTTGTTTTGCATGGTCATGTAACCAAGGCAGCTGAGTGTTTAACACTGGAAACAGAGGGCGGTCACAGATGACCAACAGCGTGCCCTACTTCGGCCTTACACGTGTGTCCTCTCCAAAGCCAGGATTACTCACTCCCTGGCTACCCACAGCAGGCTTGGGAGCGTCCTTTGCTTTTGGAGTGGGGCTTTCCGTGCAGGCGACCGGCTCGGCAGCCACGTCCAGCTGGGGAGGCGAGCAGAGCCCACCGCAGGGGGACGGACGGCCCACTTCCGTGTCCCAGAAGAGCGATAGCCCTGGGCCTGCAGAGCGTCCACGTCTGCCTGCGGGGTGCATGTGGAGAGAGGGAGGTTAGATCCGGGAGGTGCCTGGTCAGGGCGGAGCCAGAGAGCCACGCTCTCAGCCCACGTTCCCTCCCGCAAGGCCCTGCACTCGTCCCAAAAGCAGGTGGAAAATGCATTGTGTGCCAACTGACTCCTGTCTTTCCCCTAGTCTGATGCACGGTGCACCTGCCCTGCCCTGCCCTGCCCTGCCCTGCAAAGGAGAGGCGGTGAGTGAGCCCCGCCCCAGCCCAGGCTGCGGACCCCACCCCGGGTCCACACCTCTGAGTCTTCGTGTCAGGCGCACGCCGGCTTCTGCGCTCAGCCACGCCTTCCGAGTCTCCAAGGCTTCTCCACCCTCGGACCGGCGCCGGCGCTGCTTCTCCCACTCCTGCCTCCCATCCCAGCACCCGCGTGCTGCAGCCCCGTGGCCACCTCCTGTCGCCGCAGCCACGGCTCCCCCTGCATCCCTTCTTGCTCGTGTCCCTGCTCTCTGCTCCCCGGGGCCAGCACCTGGCTGGCCCGGGCCAGGGGCCGCCTGAAAGCCACAGACGGGCTGGCATGCAGACCCCTCCCTCCACCCACCAGGTTTGCACCACGTGGTCCCTGCTCAGTTCCCCAACCCCGGCTCGGCTGCAAGCCCTGAGTGCCCTCGAGCCACACGAGCTTGTCGGAGGTCTGAGGTGCACCCCAGCTTCTCTGTCCTGGACTGGGCTGTCCTGCTGTCAGCCCTCACACAGCACACTCTCTTCCTGCGATCTAACGCTAGTTCCTTCTTCCAGGTCTCAGCCCCAGCGCCATTTCTAAGCCACCATCCCCCCCTCCACACCCACAGGGACACAGACACTGATTTCCTTTATAGGCGGGAGCTGACTTATATAAGTGAGCTGCCTCACTTATCAATAAGGATTTACCCACCCTCAGCCCCCACCCTAGACCAGGCAGCCTGTGAGGGCGGCAGCTGGGCCCATTCTGTCCACAGCCAAAGGAGCGCTGCTCAAGGAAGCTCACGGGAAATATTATGAAAAGACCACGCCCGGAGTTGCAGGTTTTTGTCCCCAAATACACTCATCCTTTGATTCCATGTTTCCACTAACTTTGGAGTCCCCACCTATGTCTGGGGCCTGGTGGCTAACAGGTGCCAGGTTACAGCAAAGAGCGCTGAGGGGAGGAAGGAGTCTGAAACCCTCTGCCCACGGAGGAACCTGGGTGTCTTCAGCAGCCGCTGAGAGGTAGCCAGAGGCAGAGACGGGCTCCCCGTGTGGACAGAGAATTAGCAGGGAACGGTGGCCTCCGGGAGCCCCCCGAGCCTCCCTCCCGAGGGGACCAGGTCCCCTGTGAGACCTGGAAACTGAGCTCCGCGCAGACAGCAGGCGGGGTGGAAGTCGCACAGTCAGAAAGACTTCCGGTGAGCAGCTCTGGGAAACCAAATTTCATTTAGATTTGGAACATGAGTTTATGGCGGGGAAAATGTGATCCAAATTCTAACCAATCCCCCCACCCTGCCCCGCCAAATGGCTCAGAACAAAAACGGTTTCTAAGCTGGGAGTTTGCCTGTTTTGAGTTTTAGATGAATTTGCCAAAATATGGTGACTCATCCGCAGCTACACATGCCCTCCCTGAATTTGGGTCCTGGTTAGCCTGCGTTGGGCAGCGCTGGGAGTGCCTACGCGAGGATTCATTCACACAGGGATTGTGTGTGTTTGTGTTGAGTCAGAGGCAGGAAACACTCATTTTCCTGTCTACGCTAGGAACAGACTTCTGGTCCACCAAGAAAGCGTGGTGGGGAACCCACTTCTGGCCGTCCCCGAGCTCCTGTCTCACTCCTCCCAATAGGAGCGGTGAAGACCAACCTGATTGGTGCGATCAGGGGTCTTTGGCCAACCTGATTGGTGGGACCAAGAGTCCTGATTAATCTGATTGGTGGGATCAGGAGTCTTTGACCAACCTGATTGGTGGGACCAAGAGTCCTGATTAATCTGATTGGCGGGATCAGGAGTCTTTGACCAACCTGGTTGGTGGGACCAAGAGTCCTGATTAATCTGATTGGTGGGATCAGGAGTCTCTGACCAACCTGATTGGTAGGACCAAGAGTCCCTGACCAATCTGATTGGTGGGATCAGGAGTCCTTGACCAATCTGATTGGTGGGATCAGGAGTCCTTGACCAATCTGATTGGTGGGATCAGGAGTCTTTGACCAACCTGATTGGTGGGACCAAGAGTCCCTGACCAATCTGATTGGTGGGATCAGGAGTCCTTGACCAATCTGGATTTTGAGATCGGGAGTCCCTGAGTAGGGAGGCGGTTGGTGCAATGGCTAAGACACTGCTTGGGACACGCTCAGCCCGTATTGCAGTGCCTGGGCCTGGGTCCCAGCTCTGTTTCCCACCCAGCTCCCTGCTAA